TTGGGGCAAAAGCGGCAGGAATTCGGGACTCGCCTGCCATGGCTCCTATCAACTACTTTCATAAACGCTTTACAACCCACTTAGCGTGGGGAGTCGCGCGCGCGACCCTCCCCAAATTCCAATAGCTTCAACCACCCCCACCCCCACCAAAGCCGTGACCCCCTGGCTAAATCCTAAAAACGCCACCAGTTCCTCCGATTCCAGCCTCAGATGTAACCCCGGGCCCCTAACTCCAGACGCCCCCGCCCCACACCCAGCTCTGGCCGGGGTATAGATTCGATCCCTGAGCTACTGAGCGGCCCTTCGATCCCGCTTCTGAAAACAGCTCGCCCCCGCCCCACTCCCAGTCCTAGCCCGGCTCTCCCCACCGCGCCGGAACCTCGGGCTCTCCCGCTGAGAGCCCCCGGAAAAGGCGGCACGCTTTGCTCGTTTCTTCCTCAGGATCTGGAGTCGGGAGAGCCCCGCACCCCTAACCCGAAAGAAACGCAAACTTTGCGCGGCAGACTCGGGACCCTGCCCCATCCCCCTCGGCTCTCTGCTTTGGGGCGCTTTCCTTTCCCCCCTCTTACGAACTCATGCCCCCGTTCTACAGCCAGGAGGGCTCCCTATTCCCGAACCTCGCCGAGGGCCCCTGCGCCTCCCCACACCTCGCCAAAGACTCCCAACAATCCGCGGAAAGCCAGTAACCCTACAAATTATGGCTCCTCCCGCGGGTAGGGTCCCTGAGCCCGGCCCCTGCGATACCAGCTTGCCTGGCCCACAGCTTGTGCTCCGCTCTCCCCACGGATCCGCCTGCGAACCCCGACCCTGGCTCCCCAGGCCTGGCGGGACGCGGCCGCGGCTCCCGGACTCCAGGCACCCGGCCTGAGTCTGGGGCTGCTCCCGCTTCCAGCCGCTCGAAGGCAGCCCCAAGCTGCTGGCGCAGAGTAAGCGCCGGCCCAAAGGGCGCCCGAAGCCGGGAGAAAGAAAGCGAACCTGGAGCCGGCCCGCCGCTCCCAGCCTCGCCCGCGGAGCGCCCAGCCCCGAGCTGCCCGCACCGGGGCTCCAGCCCGCTCGCATGTCCCTACTCGGGTCCCCGGCGCTCCCAGCTCGCAGCTCCCCGCCCGCCCGCTACGGTGTCTTGGGCCAGTGGCGGTCCGAGTCGGCAGCCCCGCTCCTCGCACCCGCGGACAATGCGCGCCCGGCCACCGGCCCGAGCGGGTAGAGGCGGCGGCGGCGGGGCTGCGCTCTGGCCGGGCCCGGGCGCGGACGGGCCGCCTGGCTCCGGCCGCCTCAGTCCCCGGCCTCGCCGCCACTCGCGCTGCTTCGCTCCGCGCTCTCTCGGCGCTTCCCCAGCTTCTCTGCACGCTCCCGCCGTCCCTCGCTGCTCTCTGCCTCCCTCCTCCCTGCTGCCTCCCTCTCTCCTCCCTGCTGCCTCCCTCTCTCCCTCTCTCCTCCTTGCCCTGTCGCAATGAATAATACTCTGGCTTGGGGACTGGAATAAAACACACGCGCTCTGAGGCAGCCGCCCGCAGCAGCAGCAGCAGCAGCCGCCGCTGCCGCCGCCGCCGCCGCGCCGCCGCCGCCTGCAAAAGCGTCTCTGACATGGAAATGAATGACAGCTTACCTGATGCCAATCTTCATCAGACTGACACCGGCGTGACAACACAGCCTATACTTCCCAGCACTGCTCGGGACGTCAGCGGCACAGGGGCCCGCCCCCCGGAGCCCCCCCCCCTTCACACACCTCCCCTCTCCTCACTCCCCCTTTCTCCC